AGGCCCCTCGCTGCCCCCTCCCCCCTGCAGGGAGAGGGGTCACAAATGGGTTATGGGCTGTCTGACCTAGTGCTCGGGAATCAGGCTGGGCTGCCCGCCCGGAGGTCAGAGTCCAAGGCAGCCCCAGGGCAGGCCCAGCGCCGAGCGTCAGGGGGCAGGGCCTGGTTCCCGGGAGATCAGAGGCAGCAAACATGGGGCAGGGTCAGAGATCAACCCCCTCAGTCAGGACCCCAGGGAGAGAAGAGGAAGGCCACACTCCAGAGCAGGGCGGGAGGCACAGGGAGGCAGTTTTGGCAGTGGAGAAGGTTCTGTTCCAAGGGTCGGGTTCCCCTGAAGGGGGCAGGGATGGGAGCAAAGGCTGGGTCCCTCTCCCAGCTCCCCGGTGCCAACCGACGGCAGCCAGGTGTCTGGGGCTGAGGGAGGCACCTGGCTGCCCGCATGTAGGACACCTCTCCCGCTCCAGTCACCACAGTGACTCACAGGGACATATAAAGTGGCCCATCCTGGAGGAGTGTCAGCTTTTTCCAAGTCACAACCGCTGGTGTCTCTTCCACTCCCGAGGACCCCACCAGGAGCTACAGGTGAAGCAGGGCCAGTCCAGCCTCTGACATCAGGATGTCTGGCTGGGGGGTGGGGGATGGCGGTCAGGTGTGCAGGAGATTGCGGTGGCTTGCGGCAACACACGATGAGTGTTCTGTTACTGGAGGGATCCCAGAGTGGAATGGGTCATGCAGGAAAGATGGATGTTTTGGTGGTTCGGTGCTCCGGGGGTACTCGGAAGACGTGGCTTCTAATCTCACGCTGCCTCCTTGTAGGATGTGGGCTCTGTTGCTTGTTCTGTGCCTCGATTTCTGCATCTGTAAAATGGGGATTGCAGCTCTCCCGCAGGCACTTGTGGGGATGAATTCAGTGGAAGTCAGGAGGAGCTGAGATACTATCATGGAGGCCAGACAGCACCTTAGAGTTATTCAATTTTCTTTTAATACGCTGATTGTGGGAGTTTTGCCCTGCTCTGTTGTTGGGGGGACAAACTAGAAGGGGAACTGGGGTGGGGTGGGGTGGGGTGGGAGCTCAGAGCAGCTCATGGAGATCTTTTTCAGGTGGTTTCAGTTTTAGTCGCCCCCACAGCAGATCAGATCTTTCTATGGAACATGCCCCTGGGGGAGCCAGGGACTGTGTGGAAGTGGACGACGAAGCTGATTCGGGGGAGACCGGGCTCCCTTGCCACCACACGATCCCAGTGTGTTTATCCATGTGGGGCTCTGCTATCGCCCCCGGGTACAGGCAGGGTAGCTGAGGCGCAGAGAAATTGCATGATCATATGGGAGTATGAGGAAGAACAGGCACTCAAACCAGCCTTTCCTGAATCCTAATCCAACACCGGACACGGGAGACCGTCCGTCTGCCTGAAGACGCCCCCGGACAATGATTCCCCGTCACTCTCTCCCTGCAGTAAACCAGCGCCGCCGCCGACTGTATCCATCGCCATGGCTGCCATGCAGCTGCTGGTCCTCGCTGTGCTGGTCGCCGGGGCAGCAGCAGGTAGGAAAGAGCCCGGTGAGAAGCCACTGTTGGGTGGGGTGGGAGGATTCAGCGTGGGTGGGAGGGTTTCACCACTGGCCCTACAGGAGTGTCTCAGACGTTGCTTAAGCCAAGTTGCTAGAAGTGGAAATTCTTGGCTATCCCATCATCGATTGGACAGATTGCAAAAGGGAATTAACATATTCAGGCCTCGTCTCTAATTAGTCTCCATTGCTTTGGAACAGGCAAGGAGCTGTGGTTTCACAAGAGTTTTCTTCCTGAATTAGGAAACAAGGAAACAAAGTTGCGATTTCCCACCAAGCAAAAGGTGTTTGGGAACAATAAGTCTTTCTCTGAGATTTCGAGGTCTCTAAATTTTCAGCGTACATCGAAATGTGTCACTTTTCTAGAGCATTCTTCTAGTAGAATGTTAATTCTGCTAAAAAACGTATAAAGAATATTTTAAAAATCTCAGAGGGCCTTTGTGATAATGTCCAATGCTCTGGTCAGACTGTGTATCCCATGAAGCACCAGGCCCTTTTGGTAAGCACAGCCCAGTGCATCATGGGGATCCATGGTTGTGAGGCATCATGGGAGATGTAGTTTGATGGTGGAGTCCAGTCTACACTGGAAAATGCTGCATTATGATCTTTGGTTTAATTAATTAGCAGCATAATCATCACATTCCCATGGCTCATCCTGTCCAGTCCCTGCTTCCACGGGCAACTCAGTCGTATCTGTGACTCAAGCACCGTATTTGAAATAATGAGGGTTTTTTCCCCTCCCCTCTTCACACCTACCTTCCCTTGCTGTTCAGTAACTTCCCTCTAATTCTTAGCCTCGATTTATCCACATTCTTCCCTGCTTGTGGCTGACGTGTGCCTCTCTCCTTTGCAGGCTGTGACTCAGGGGGAGTGAAAGAACGGCTCTTTATTGGATATCCCTGCCGCAATGGCTCACGGCCCTACCAAGCGGCTCTCCTGAAGAACGGCACCACCTACTGTGCTGGGAGCCTGATACACCCAAAGTGGGTGCTAACTGCTGCGCACTGCAGCAGAAACATCAGGTAAGTCAGCGCAGGCGTGGGAGAGAGAGAGGAGGGTTCCTGGGAATTACCCACGTTCCCATGCGGACATCTCCCTCTGCCCCCCCAACCCAGCCCCATCCACCTCTATTGTTTTCCAGTCCTCAAAGCATTTTTTGGGACCTTCTCTGCACCAGCTGTGGTTTTCCAGCCATCTTCGGCAGATGTGCCTGGGCCGCCCGTATCGGTCTGCCCTGTGGCGCAGGCAGGAGGGAACTGGCTCTGCACGCCCCAGCATTAGGCCGTGTGGTTCCTGCTGCCGGCTCATGGGCAGGTGGCCGAGGAGCTGGATGGAATGGGGGGGAGCTCTGGGAAAGATTTTCCCTTGACTCCAGCCGGATGCTGTTAGTTCTCAAGCTGGGGGAGGGGTGTGCCTGAGGCCCACTGTGGTTCAGGGAGTCCACGGGCCCAGTAGCTAAACCCTGGAACCCTGAGTCCCAGCGCCTCCCACATGGCTGAAGCCCCAAGCCTTGCGCACTCCGCAAGGCTAACCCCCAAGTGTGCCCACCCCCCAGCTGAGGGCTGGAGAGTGGAAGAGACGGGCTGTGAGGGGCTCCGGGAACTACTCGATGAGAATGAAATCCCTGGAATGGAGATGGGGTGTCTAGTACCAGGGGGTGCCTCAACATTGAAAGCAATGGGGGTTTCCTTTCTAGAGCTCTGTCAATACTGCAGAGAGATCTGTCCTTCCCCTCCCCTCTTTTGTCCCACCTCTCTCTGTGTTAGGACTCAGCAGGTATCTTCATTCTATTAAAGAATGTCATTACATTGCATAGAATCATAGAACACTAGAACTGGAAGGGACCTCAAAAGATCATGAAGTCCAGTCCCCTGCTCTCGTGGTAGGACCAAGCCCCATCTAAACCATCCCAAATAGATGTCTAACCTACCTGCTCTTAAATATCTCCAGTGATGGAGATTTCACAACCTCCCAGGCAATTTATTCCAGGGCTTAACCGCCCTGACAGCGAGGAAGTTTTTCCCAATGTTTTTCCTAAATTACATGGATTAAATCACATAGATGTCGACGTTTGGCAAACATGATTTTTCCCTGCTTCCCTGTTAGTCTCTTTTCCAAAAAGTTTCATGACGACCAACCAAGTTGCGGTTCCCTGATTTTTTAATTCCCTAGAAGACTAGGTTATTTGAAACTCTTTGAGGCAGATGTGACTGGTTGCCATTCTCAGGGCTCCAGCATATAGATTTGAGTTGGCAGGAGCAGGCCACGGTGACCCAGCACAAGGGAAAATAAAAATAACCATGTAAAGTGGGTCGCAAAAGGAGGGGGAGCAGATAGCAAGTGTGAAAAACCAGGACACTTTTTTTCAATGTGTTCTCTCCCTCAGGCCCTGTCCCACCCGCCAGGGGCCTGTTTTCTCTCTCCAGACCTCACCCCACCCCCCAGGGCCTGTTCTTTTCCCCCAGGCTCTGCCCTGCCGGTCAGGGGCTGTTTCTCTTCTCCAAGTCCAGCCACCAGGGGCCTACCAGTGACCTTTTTTCTCTCCCTTCCAGCACTGCAGCCAAGAACCAGGAGGGGGGAAAGGATCTGTGGCGGTGGGGGGGTGGCTATTTACGCAGAGTGCTGCCAGGCAAGTTGGTGAAGCCCCAGCCCTGCTGGTCTCTCCTTTGCTGTGCAGCCGCCTCCCAGTGGCCACTCTCATACCGTGTCCCTATGAACAGCAGCCCCTCCCTTTGGCTGTGTCTACACTGGCATGAATTTCCGGAACTGCTTAAAACGGAATACTATTCCGTTTTCAGTTTTTCCGGAAAAGGAGCGTCTACATTGGCAGGCTGCTTTTCCGGAAAAGCCCTTTTTCCGGAAAAGCGTCTGTGGCCAATGTAGACGCGCTTTTCCGGAAAAGAGCTCTGATCGCCATTTTCGCCAAGACTACTGGGCTGTCTACACTGGCCCTTTTCCGGAACAGTGTTCCAGAATAAGGACTTATGCCCGAGCGGGAGCAGAATAGTTTTTCCGGAATAATGGCTGATTTTGTACAGTAGAGCATTGTTGCTTTTCCGGAAATTCAAGGGCCAGTGTAGACAGCTCGCTGATTTTCCGGAATAAGCGGCTGATTTTCCGGAATAAGTGGCCCAGTGTAGACACAGCCTTTGTGTGTTATGGAAACCAGTCCTTTTCCAGGGACTTCCGGTTATCCTGGCACAGCCAAACCCTGACATCACTTTGGCTATGTCTAGACTGCATCCCTCTGTCAACAGAGGGGTGCAAATGAAGCACATAGAAATTGCTAATGAAGCAGGGATTTAAATATCCCACACTTCATTAGCATAAACATGGCCGCTGCTTTTTTCGACAAGGAGTTTTGTCGACAAAAACATCAGTCTGGATGAGTTTCTGTTGACAATAAACCCTTTTTCGACAGATCCTGTATGCCTCAGTAAATTAGGTCTACAGGATCCGTCAAAAAAAGGTTTATTGTTGACAGATCCACATCTAGACTGTCGTTTTTTGTCAACAAAACTGTGTTGAAAAAACGTCGACCATGTTTATGCCAATAAAGCGTGGGATATTTAAATCCGAGCTGGAAAAAAGTGGCAGCCATGTTTATGCAAATGAAGCGGGGGGGATTTAAATCCCCGATTCATTTGCAATTGCGCTGTGTCTGATTTGCATCCCTTTTACGGAAAAGGGATGCAGTCTAGACACAGCCACAGAGAGACAGACACACTGATATAGATATAGATATAGATATAGATATAGATATAGATATAGATATAGATATAGATATAGATATAGATATAGATATAGATATAGATATAGATATAGATATAGATATAGATATAGATATAGATATAGATATAGATATAGATATAGATATAGATATAGATATAGATATAGATATAGATATAGATATAGATATCACTTGGCCCAATTCTAGATGTGTACCCATTTTGACCTTGGAATAGCCTCTCACCATTCATCTCTTCCTTTGTCCTCTCTCCATGCAGCTCAGTGCAGGTGCATCTGGGGGATTATAATTTACAGGTAAAGGAAGGCACAGAACAGATTAGAAGAATCCGCAGCTACTTCATGCACCCCAAGTATAACCTCCGCCGCCTTGACTATGATTTCATGCTTCTGGAGCTGGATAAGCCTGTTCGACTCAACAACTTTGTGAAAACGATCCGCCTGGCGACCCGTTGTCCCGCTCCTGGAACGCGATGCAGAGTCTCAGGATGGGGCATCACCAACTTTCCCAAAAGTATGCTGGGCCATAGAGGGGAGGAGACGAGGTTGGGTTCTTCATGGGGAGAAGGTGGAAGTTCTTTCAGGAGACCGTGTCCTAGTCAATATGTTTCCTTTCGGAATGTCCTTTCCTTTTGTTTTCAAAACATTTTAAAAACTTGAGAGATGTGCTTCAAATCCAAAGAAAGTACTAAAATACCATATAGATCTCTTTGAAACTCTTCATTTGCCCTGAAATTAGGGGTTTTTTTCTATGCATTTTCTGTTCATCAACAATTTCCTTTTTTGGAAAACGAACATGGACAGATCCCAGCTGGGTTAATGGACCATAGCTCCATTGAGTGAATGGGGCAGATCCCAACTGGGTTAATGGGCCATAGCTCCATTGGAGTGAATGGGGCAGATGCCAGCTGGGTCAATGGGCCATAGCTCCATTGAGTGAATGGGGCAGATCCCAGCTGAGTCAATGGGCCGTAGCTCCACTGGAGTGAGTGGAGCTGTGTCAGTTTATATCAGCGAAGGGCCTTACTCTACGTTTACTGCTCCTGCGCCTTGTACTGGAACTCTTCTTTTCCTGTCTTTGCCCAGACCACACGCTAGGCAACCTGCAGTGTGCAGATCTCCGCACCATCAGCCGGACCAGGTGTCTTGAGCCTTACCCAGGCCGGATCACAGAGAACATGCTCTGCGCTGGCATGGAACGTGGCAGCATCAGGTCATGCCAGGTAAGAAGGTGTCCTGGGGGTGGGGGGAAGGTGCCGGGTGCCAGAACTCCCACAGCTCAATGCTCTTTATCCAACACAACCTCCGAATTCTTCTCAGCCTTCTACAGAGGGGCCATCATCACTCGGTCCCAGCCCCAGCCCCAGCCCGGCTTTGTGCCTTGTGGATGAGCAGCCAGGCTGCCCCCCAGCTGCATTGAGCCCTCAGTGCTGGGCCCATCCCCCTACTAGGGCTGTCTGACCCCCTGCTCAGCTGTAGGAGCCATTTCTGCCCTGAATTCCTTCCTATGTGGGTGTCTTTGCCACCCTCTGCTAAAGGGGATGAGTCCATATGTGTGTGTGTGTGTGTGTGTGTGTGTGTGTGTGTCTCTGCCGCCCCCTGCTGGAGGGCATGAAGCCTGCTCTGTATGTGTTCATGTGTATACGTGTACCTGGACGCTATGTGTCCTGGGGTGAGCGTAGGTGTGTGGTTGTGCGCATTTGTGTCCTTGCTGAAGGGGAGTGGCTCAGCTCAGTGCGCATGCGCTGGGGTGCAGTTGTGGTTGCTGACACTCGGCATTGTCTCCGCAGGGCGATTCAGGAGGCCCGCTGGTCTGCAAGGGGAGGCTGCAGGGCCTGGTCTCCTGGGGGGGGCCCATCTGTGTCCTACCAGAAAAGCCTGGCGTCTACGCCAAAGTCTGCAAAGCCGTCCGGTGGGTGAGGGACACCATACGGAGGAGGTGCTCTGGGTTGGACTGAGAGCTCCCAGCATGTCACACCCGCTTCAGTAACCCTCCAACCCCCACCCCAGCCGTGCCACTCCTCCCCTGGCTGGCAGGGAGCTGGCCGGGATGGGACGGGGATGGGGCGCTGCAGTGTGGCCAGTCCAAAGCAGCCAACCATTACTAGCCAGACCTGGCATAATCCTGAGCCTGGGTGGAAAATGGGTGAGTGGTTCACACAGCATGAATCAGCCTGACAATTGTGAGACTGGCTTGAAAAAATCACCAGACCCGCTTGAAATTCACAAGGAACGTGCCCAAAGGTGGACTGGATTTAGATGTTCACCACCCTTCCCAGTGCACTCAGCACATGAGGGTCCAGCTGCTAAACCTGACTCTTTCGCGTGGTTCTTTGCCCACCAATCTGACCGTGCACAGGGACGTGCTGTTTTAAAGTTCTATTGTCACTTGGCCTCAATAAAACCTTTGGGAAAAAACGTGTCAGGTCCCATTGTCATTTTGAGCATTTCGTTTTCACTTTGCTGTTACGGGCAACTCTGCCTGTAGGAAAACCTTTTCCCTCTCTGCAGGGCTGAGCAGGGAGTAGGTGGCCGGGGATGCTGGTGAAACCTTCATGGC